TCAACTATTATTCTCGACTAATATATATATATATATATATATATATATATATATACATTTTTCCAAAATAATACTGACCCATGTACTTTTAAAATATTTTGCACAGTTTGCCTTTAATGCACGAAATGGTCATCATTCAATTCTTTAACAGCTGCACTTTGTCACAAGTAGTAAAAAAAATAGTAAAAAAAGCTCGGCATTTGGGAACGCCACGGCGGAAAGTTTTGAAGTGAAAAACCTTTAGTCGTCCGAGGTACTGAATGCGATTGTTGGACCTAGTTTCAATGCAGCTTCGTGCGGTATTCGCAGAACGGCAACTGTATCGATGGTAACGTTAAGTACACACAAATCCCTAAGCGCTAATTACTCTAATTGTTACAGATCTCTCGTCATTTACAAACCAATTCTGTTGAAGTGTTTGGTAGTATTCAGCTTCGTTGATCACTTCTAAATGATGCGTCGATGTTACGTTTAAGTCTCGTGATTCTTAAAAATAAATGTATGTATATATAATTATTGGTTAAAAGCTGCTATATACGTATTATTCGAAATTATTAAATATTTGTAATTATACATTATTAGATATTTTGATTAAAAAATATATATTAATGATAGTTAAATATTAAAATATTATTAAAGAATAATAGGTCAGATTGTGTCATTGTTTAGTATACATATATTAAATAGCTGAACGGAGAGATTTTTATTATGACTGGATAGATCTTTCTCGTCATTAGCACACTTTTAAATCAGTTCCGAAAGGATATTAGCACACCTTTAAGACAGTCTCGAAAGGATATTTCCAAATCGGTGATAATTGCATGATGCCTCTCTATTAACGATCGTTTTGAAGTTTAAACTGTATCCTATATATTTTAGCAATACGTCGGAAATTCTGATGTAACACATATGTATTACACGCGGAAGTTTAAAGATTAAAAAATTTATTCGTAAACTTAAAGAATTAGGAAATTTGAGAACCAAAACAAAATTTAAAAATACTATCGTCTAAATTATCTAATTATTTCTTTTTCGTGAGATACAAATTTAATAATTCGTGAAATACATAGTTATAGTAACAAATAACTTTATTAACAATGTGTACAAGTACAATGTTTGTTTATAATGATTAATGTGAACAATTGATTACAACAATATAGTAATAAATACAGAAGTAATGAAAATGATTGTAGTTACACACTTTTTATCTTTCGTTCTTTCTGTATTTATAACATGTACAATTTATTTAAATCTATGATACATTCTATAACTTTTACATACATTAATGTGATTAACGCAATTGTTCTATTTAAAATATTATATATTACGCATATTTAAATCATGCATGTTTAAATCATCACGCATGTTTTTTCCTACGAATAGTTATTGTACAATTGAATAATTATTTATCAATGAAAAATTATTTTAGCGATATTTCTATATTCAATTGCTTGTATAATCTGTACTCAAAAATATTCGAATCAATATTCGAAATACAAGTAATCGAACGGTGAATGAGAATAACGATTATTAAATAAAATACGTTGATCCTTTCTCGGAATTTTTTTCCAACGATACTTCAGTGTTCGATGTTCAGAGAATTTTTCTCAGCTGTTTCAGCAAATCGTTCTATTCCTGCAAGTATTTTTTCGGTAAAATACCACCACTCTTCGCTAGCTTCGCGACTCTTGCGATGATTCACGGCCTCCGCCAGGTGAGCCGGAAAATTGATCTTATGTCTAGCGACACTCTTCAATACGAGCGCCGCTATGTATATGATAAAATAGATGCTGAAATACAGCGGTATATACCAAAGCTTCTTTCCTATGAAGTAATACGAGTAGGGTCTCTTGTCGAGTCGCTGGTCGTTCATTTCCGACTCCTCCGTCGTGGGTTTGGGATGATGCTCGTGATACTCAGGTATGTGATCGTAGATCACATCGTGATGAAAATCGTGATGATCGTGTTCGTATGGATCTTCGATATATGGAGGCGGATGGCCGTGATCGTGATTCGCAAACTTTACAGGTTTCGAGCCATCATTATCGTATGAAGGAGGGACGTCAAAGCTGGAATAATCCGTTTCGTGCTCGTCGCTGGTGGGATAGTTGTTCGGTTTGTAAGAATCTGGGATCTACGCGATAAAAGAGGTCTTACGAGACGTGTATTTGCAAAAGCAAAGATAAGCAGGGTGAAGGTAAGCAGCGAGATAACTTATTTGTCTGTGTACTGAAAATCGATGATGAAATAATTACCTTATCATCCATGGATGTAGATGGATATTTGCTGATTACTGGTTTGGACATCGGTGGCTCGTCATCGAGAACCGGGCCCATCGGACTATATTCATACGTAGCAGGGCTGAGTGGACCAAGAAAAACGGATGAGTTTATATTCGGAGAGCTTCCTGTATCCAATATACTTGTTCCTTTCTGCGGTCTTCCGTTTCCCTGAACGACGTCGCGGTCGAAGCTTGCAGGTGGATTAAACCGCTGTTGAATTCGCTTCTTGTTCGCATCTAACTTGGCTATCATTTCATGATCCAGTGTCGAATATCTACTAAACCGTTAATAAATCGTTAATTATAAATTATTTTACAAAAATTTATAACATGTAGTTAGTATTTAAATTTACCTTGGGGCAACTGGATGATTGATGGCTTCGCCTTTCTTCAATTTCGAAGGCCTGGGCGGTATATACACAGGTGATACCGTGATAACAACGTCATTTATACTTCTGCTTTCGTTCTCCACGTTCGTATTGTTTCTCGTTAGCGGTCTAAAATGCACAGATATTGATATCTCATTTCGATCCTTACCTCAGGATGCTCAACGACACTGTACCGGTGGTTAATCGGTATTAAGAAAATTAGTTTTGACGTTACGCACCTGGTGATCCACGAGAAAGAATCGTAAGAGTTCCTTCCTGCCTGTCCGTTTCTCGATACTCTTGCGTATGACGTTACTTCCGGTGACAATGTGGAGGAAGACAGGCGTAAGAAGAGAATTAAAATTAAAATACGTAACATACTGATAGTCGAAGATGAATGGCCATGATTCTGAGGCGAGTGTCCTCTATATAGACTTGTAACTGTAACTACCACTTGAGCGATTGTGAATGTATTGTCCACGCGCGTTTCATATTGTTATTACGTGTAACGTTCTGACGGTTTTACATTGTTAAGATGTCTTTGTCATTACACATTATTCGTCTTACGAACGGGATGACGCGAGACTTGCAACAATTGTTGCTTACTATGTGACAGCGTTATTTTGCGACAATTTCGATATTTTCGCAAGACAAAACATACTCAGCCAGGGCAGCTGTGCTAACGAGGAGAAATGACATTTGACAAAATAGCTCTAACTCACTTTACAAACCGTAACAATCCGTTATGAGTGTGTTGAACAAACAGATTGTCTCCCGTTATTGATATTGAGAAAAAGTTTCGATATATTTTTACTAATAGTATAATGTTTTGAAGGAATAATTTCTATACATTTATATATGTCTATATATCATGTTTCTGTTTATTTTTTAGCATATAATGAATTCATAGAGAATATTTACACTATTTACTAGAAGTTTGGAAACACTTTTTCTAAAGTAATGTTAGTATTTTAGAAATAAATAAATTTATCATATTTATTTCATATATTAGACCTATGCACATATTATAATTATAAAACTCTTTTTTATATTAAATGCGATGACTATAGTAACTATACTCTAAAAATACTATGATAAAATATTATAATATAAAATTTGAATTGAAAATCTTATTTCGAAAGGCAAAAGACGAAATTCAAATTTTGATCTGAATGGACATATAATCTATCAGTTAGCTTGCTATTTAATCCACCATTAAAAAATTAATGGATTACGTTTTATTATATTATTATATTTGTTCGTAAACCAAAAAACATCTTTAAATTATAACAGAAAAAGCATGTCCATAACAAAAATATTAAAATTTTCTATTTTTGTCACTTTTAATATTTTGTTCAAATCTATACTTTTATCCTTGTATACTTTTCGTAAAGATGCCTTTTGAGTTTGAAATGCATTAAGATTAAATTAGATTGTTCAAAAATTAGAAAATTTTTGAAGTAAATATGCAGAAGGAAAAGGTCGGAGGCTTTTCATCGCTAATATATTTATTTTGTAATTTTTAATTTAATTTTTAATTTTATTATAGTTTATTTTGTAATTTATAATTAAGAAATAATGTCGAATTCGTACTCGGTTTTATTAACTCTATCTTATTTATTAATAATTTGTTGATAAATAAAGGATTTAATAAAATATTTGAAGATTATTCAGCAACATGCATCAAGGTTAAAATCAAAATTACTAAAATTAACTTTTTTTATAAATATTTATAAAAAATATATAATCATTGCAAAATATTATAGTACATAAAATATTATATGTAAATATATTACAGTTTCATATATACTTTTTAAAATTGATGCATTTTACTTTCTCAATATATACATTTTAAATTCTTTCCTGTAAGCGCTTAATATCATAGACAGCAATAAAATATTTGTCTCTGTTTTTCAAACAACTAAAATTTTATATTCTAAACTAATTTATGTATCTCAATTTATTACCACTAAATTAGGAATCCATTCAATTGATATGTTTGTCGTTTTGCGATATTCTCCGCTCGTTTTCTACCGTAATTGTAGGCTGATCTAGATTATCAGTCTCAAAACTTGGATTAATAAAGCTACTTTCTTGCATATCATTTTTTTCAATTTTCGTTTGTTTCTTATTATTCTTTGCTGATTTGTCCTCGTGTTTTCTAATTGGATTTTGTTTAATTTCCTCAACATTTTTAGCGTTTCGGATATCATCTATCTGAAGACTCAGTTCATTCGCCCTTTTGTTATTTCGTGATTCTTCTTTGAGAACTTTTTCATTATTCATATTGTCATTTTTCATCGGATTATTCTTAATTCTTTCACTTTGTGATTTTTCATCGAAGCTAATATCGAAGTTTGTATATTTTTCGGGACTATTTTGTTCATTAATATTTTCTGGTTTCTGCTTCACGATATCATTGCCTTTGAGCTGAGAGCGCTTCTTTAAATAAATCATATTGAATAAAATATATATTAAGCCGGTCACTAGAGTTACCACAGCGAATATCTGATAAGTTGGTCTAGTTCCAAAAGCTTTCATCAGGTAACCACCGATCAAACTCCCAGAGCCTTTGCCTATCAAAAACAAATCCTTTTTTTAATGCATCAAGCGCATCTCTTTATTAAAAGGATTGCGTTCAGTAAAAAAAAATAACTTTACAACTGTTGTAAAATCTCTTTAATTGGTTTATATTTCGATCCGTGAAGACTCAAGGGCAGAAATCAATCATATCAAAACAGTTTTAAAACAACAGTTGTAAAACTGCTTTCTCCGCTGAACGCAGCCAAGCTGATCTCTTATTAAGATACTTCGACAATTGAATAAATCTATAAACGTACCAACTCCGTAATAAACACCGCCAAGAAGTCCTTGTATCGAGCTGTCGGTAGACGTACTTGATAATTTTGCCGCATAAGTGACGGCTGCGGTGAAACTGAGGGATGATGTAACCGATTCTAATGCCTCGAAAATCAAAGTAAGCCAAGGATCGTAAATCAAAGAATAACCTGCGCAGGAAGTACTTCATTATTACCTTTAAACGTGCACGTTTGTTCTCCGCCGATTATTTCGAATCGTTATCGCTACTAACCGCAAAGCCTAACGGCATAAAACACAAAGCCTATGAAAAGCACATTCGCGTGGCCAATCTTTGATATTATCGGTCCCGAAAGTGCCAACAATGGTATGCCGGCGATACCACCTACTGTCACTGTGATACCCATAAGTGATCTGGATCCTCCCAAATCTTGGATCAACCAAAAGAGAAACGATTCGATGTATCCCCACGCGGTACCTGTCGAAAAAAATTTTTTTTCTTTAATCCTCTCATTTGAATAGTTCGAATCGAAAACATTCGAATCGAAGAGAGAAAAAGTCGGATTATATTAAATAATTTGATAATTTACCGAGGACAAAGCAAGCAAGGAAAAGTGCGGCAGTTTCGATATTTCTCAAAACAGTGAAAACATCACGTACGACGTTTGTAGCGGGTACCTTAAATTCTAAGTTGATCAGCAACATAAGAAAACCGGATGCAAGTTTCAATGCCGCATATAAGTAAAATGCTGGCCTGTAACATTTATCAAATTTTTATTAGCGATTCGATAAGATTTAATTTTTGTAAAATCGCACAGATATGCGGAGTGTCTCGAAAATGAAGTCAGAGAAAAATTTTACTTTTTTTATTTATTCCAGACATGAAAAAATCAAATTTTTCTAATTTTATTACTAGTATTAAGTATTTCATGTATTACAAATAAATTACACACCTAAAGTCTGTATATCCTTTACCTCTGCTAGCATAATCTATAAGAAGACCTGATAAGGGAGAAGAAATCATGCCTCCTATACTGCCATAAATTCTTTGAAGGCCGTAATCTGCATTTTGTTCTCGCAATACTGCTATAACGGCACCTTCGAACATAGCAAAAGTTGTACCACCAATAATACCTGAAACAAAAAATTTCACCACGTCCACTTTTAATATTATCGTAAAGTTAGCATCGAAACTGTATATCGGTAACTGTAACAATTTAAAAAGGAAAAAAAAACAAGAAAACAAGGTTTCTGCCAAATGCAATTAAAGCACAGAAATGACTTTTTTTATAACTTTAATTCATTAAATTTTTTGATATTTTAATACAATAAAGAACACACGTTGGAAATCGAAAATGCAATATCGAAGAAACAATATAGAGAATCATTACTTTTTTTTTGAATTGGAAATAATTTTTATTAAACCGTACAATAATTAGAGATTCCTATCGCGATTATATTTATACTTTGTGAGGCAGTTGAATGATAAACATGTACTAACCTATGAATACTCTAATGACAAGATAAAGCCAGAACGTAAGTTGTATATTATATTCAATTTCCATATTCATGTTAGAGCACACTGTGTTGCGCGGTAAAGTAACTATACATTTCTTCCTGCATTCATTTACGCTCAAGACTCGCTCGGTTGCTTCCAGACCCGCTTCGTGATCATAGAGCCGCACATCTATCATGACTTGATTGTTTGCGGAATCTGGATTATCACACATAGGTTTTTGAAAATCCTCCCCTGCCCAGGATATCTCCTCCGTCAAATATCTTCGTCGCTCTTCTTGTAAATCTTCTTCATCTGGTTCCAAACTTTTTATTTTCGATTTATATAAATGATAATTTATTGTCCGGTTCATATCGTCCTAAAGACAACAATTTTGCTTGATTCTTTTTGTTTTCGTTTTTTTTTCATAGAAATATTAAATATTAATCAATTTTTAAACTTAATTATAATATATAAAAATACATAATAATACATAAAAATGATAATAATTTTGAAATTATTGCTACACTTAATATTTTCGAATATTTTGAACAAATATTTTGTTATGAAATATTTATTTTTATACCTTTGATTTGATTAAACTATTAAAAGTACATAAGGTATGATTTTTGTACATTTTATGCGATATTTCGGTAGTAAAATTATCAATGTCTTCGTGTCTCGACGGGGTACATGAAAATGAAGATAATTGATCCGTTGGAAAAAAGTAGTAATTCTTCGAAACTTTTCGGATGGAGGTTTGAAAAAATTCATTATTTTTTAATTGTCGATGTTCCCTCATATCTTTTTGCTCATCAATAATCTGTAAATTATAGGATAGAACAACGATTTATTATAATATCATTACACGAAGCTATTATGTCTGTAAAAATGTGTAGTATAGAAAAATTGAAAAAAAAATTAACAGAAATAAAATTTTATTGTTTAAATTTTGGGCTTTTGAAAAATCTATGCAGCGTTTGATATTTTACTTAAAATAATGTCATGGCAATAGTATATTCCTTTGAACATTTAACTGACAGTGAGTGCTGTAAATAGTTTTAATTGAAAGATGAAATAATATACACATTACGCTCTACTGTCTCTTCGTGCGTTGACTAGTAACCAGTGTCTACCTTGTTCACCACTTTCCGTTATTCGATATTAGGTATCGAGTATCCACGCAGTAACAGGCAGTGTTCTGTTAACATATGTTCAATGCACAACGTACCGTTGACAAGTCGCTCTGCGCAACAATATATTTGTATGAAGAATTAACGCCAGTTTGAAAATTGAGATGTCGAACTGTATAAAGCCTCGATTTTAGGATCAGGTTTTGATCCGTCCTGTTGCTTGTTTCTATATGACACACGAATCTGCGCAGAAAATTGCTAATGCTTGAATTTTGTACACTGCACATTTTCATTTTAGGTAGATGATGTAAAAGGAATTTATCTACGTCATTAATTGTATAGTTGCTCGGTTATTAAAAAATATCATTATAGCGAAGTTTCCAGTGAATAAAAAAAGGATTCCCCTCGGATTTTTTTACAGATTTTTCATAGAATTTCCCTCGGAGTTGAGCTGTTGAAGCTAATGTGAACAAACAGGAAAATAGAATGTTTCATATCTGTATAACTGATCTGTATAACTGATCGATTATTAAAATATCATTTCTACTGAATTAAAATAGGATTCCCCTATTTTTTTACAGGTTCATAAGATTTCCTTTAAAATTGAGCTGTTGACGCAAATTTGAAAGAAACAGGAAAATAGAAACGCTCGCATCTGTATAGCTAATCGATTATTAAAATAGTATTATAGTAAGATTTCTAGTGAATAAAGATAGTATTCCCTTATTTTTTTACAGGCTCATAAAATTTCCTTTGAAGGTGAGCTGGAATTGAAGCAAATTTTAAACAAACAGGGAAATAGAACGCTTGCATCTATATATGTAATAAGTAATTTGTCGCGATGGTACGAGATTATCACTCATGATAATAATATTTTCTTCGCTATGCTGCGTGACTGAAATTAATGATAAAATATGCGGTGATTTGCAAATTACATCTTTTTTTTTTAATGCTAGAATCTTTTTTGCGAAATTTATAGCAGTAACAGAATTTACAAGATGAAATTATCAAATTTGGATAGAAATTTTAAATAAATTTTTAAAAAAAAGAAAAAATGTTTAAATTTCTTCCACTTTTATATAATCTAAATAATATTAACGTAATACGATACGGCATTATTCTATTTCTATTTCAACGGGTATTAGCTAATAACTTTTTACTTACCCACAACTTTCTATTTTCATATTAATTGTCGAGTCTAATTTTGTCTCACACACTTGAGTCTGACTCATTGTGTGTAATAGCGAACCATTTCCTTGACAATCGAGATCCATAATTATTCTCTCAGGAAAATGTATCGTGACTCTGCCGATTGGTACTAATAGTAATAATAACGCTGCTAGGCCTCCAAATGCGGAAAATACTGACAGCAAAATCTGTTAAATTTATAAAAAAAAATCTTAATTATACGCTATTTTTTTGTATATATGTAAATGTATGATATTAGATAGTGAGTGAGTACATGTACAACAATACAATGACAAAAATATACGAAAAAGATCCAAGTAGTTGTTTTTTTCGCAAGTATTTCGTTTGTATGCTAATATTTGATGATGTTACAAAAAAATTAATTAACTCACCCTGAAATTTCCTATTCGATCAGCTAACATACCCGCAAGCGGCGGCATTACCATGGCTACGACAGGAGTGATGGCACTCATTATCGCAGTTTCCTCTACGTTTATACCCAATTCTCTCATATGTATAGTCAGATACGGATACAATACGTAAAGGGCTGAAAGAATCACAAAAGCAAATATAATAAAAAAACTTCTTACTACGCCAGAAATATGAATTTAAAATTTCATTTACGTTTAATTCGCTTTATTAATTTGATTAATCAAGGAGAATTAAGGAAGAAGACAATTGCCGAATTTATCTTTAAAAATCTATTTTATAAATTACTTACTGGAAGCTTGGACGAAAAATATTATTTTCAATGGCATTAGCTCTTTCTGCCAAAAGTCCTCACTGATCCTTTTACAGAAGCTTTTGAACATCATCATCTTGATATATTTTGTGCGTCCGGATTTGAATCAAATTGACTTCCAAGTTAATTGAACGTGAGATATTTAATCTGTATTGTGCATGTTTCCGCCGTACATCATTGTTTCATTCTTTACATCTACCTTCGAATAGATTTTTTTCTGATAATTCTTATCGTAATTTGCAACGATTTTACAATAATTTCTATTTAATTCATAATAAAATAAAGCTTTTATAATTAATTTAATTTTGAATGGAAAGGGAAGGTCAATTATCTCATTACTATTACTGAAATGTATGCAGTCATCGCGAGATAAAATACCATCAATACGAATGCCACGTCTTTTACATAACGGTTTTACAATACATTCTACCTCGTGACATACATACATCAGTATTAACTTCCGTTTGTTGAAATAAATAAACGTAAAATATATTGTATGTATTGATTGATTAATTGCACATTTGAATGTACAAAATCTTTATCAGGGGATTTCCATTTTTATGATCTATTGACTGGTTGACTCATTGTAAAAAAAGATATATGTTTAAAATCTTAACATTCGGTGTGTGAAAGCAAACGTACATCTCGTTCAAATACAATGGATTATGTAACTGACCAATATTTTTTTCAAGTATGGTTGCAGTGCAGGTTAGTACAGAGAGGAGATTAGATAGCATTTTTGCAATATTTCATTCATGCCACAAGTACGAGATGGAATATCGTAATCAACACGAAATTGCTAGTTGTTACCGATGTTGAGAGCAAGGACCATTATTGTTTAACTCGTTAATTGCATAACTCGTAGATTGATAGACCTTGCGGAAGAAGGCAAACGTTAGTGTCTTACTAACGATTCAGAACACGAGATAAAACAAAGATAAATTTCGAAGACTTCTTGAAAAAACATTTGACCGCAAAATTAATCAATATTAAAAATAAAACTACAGGACATTATCGCCTTTTTTGCAGGTTTTTTTCTATTAAACTATGTAATTAATGACAAATGATTTGACAGTTATTAATATCTAGATAATTTGAATATATTTACAATTTTTAGAAATTTCAAGGTACTTTTCAAAATCTTAAAAAAATTTTGTATTAAAAATTTTATATATATATATATGATTTTGAATTTTATATTATATATATGAAAAGTTTAAATTTTATGAAATACTTTATCCAAAAATATATATTATAACGAAGCATGTACGAATAAACTTTGATACACAAAAGATACTTTATAAATTTATTTTAATCATGAAAAACATTCACTTAGTAATGCTGAGCAGGTACATCCTCCATTCAAGGTTTGATACTGATTATTCCTATGGATAAAGGATAGGCGAATGTACATAGAATCATATTTTAGTAAGGATTTTCTCGTTGGTAGGAAATGTTAAATGATTTCATCTTCTAATGCGAAATTGCAAAAAGGCGCACAATCATTAAGATTGTCGCTTAATGCGAATTGTATGTCGCTGAAGAATGCAAGAAAGAGAGAGAAAGAGATAGAGAGAAGAAGGAAGATTCTTTACATAATATTTGGAATGGATTTTTCAAGAAACCGCAATAATCGAATAATAAAGACTATAATATCTCTCGCGTATTATAAATATCTCATAAAGCGGGAAGTACCGTAATGCATTAATTAAATCCGGCAATTTGCGATTTTTAACATGGAATAAAGATTTACAACCTGACATATTCATATTAGTAGTAGTAGATTTTAAAAGGAATCAAATAAGTATTTCTTATGGATAATCAGATAACAAATACATTTATTTATAATATCATATATTGTTATACCATTTTTTATTCTTTCATAATTTCAAAATTTTAGTACTTATAATATTTGTTATAAAACTTTTGCGAAAATTACTCTTGTAGATAAATGCCATTAATTATATGTTACATTTTGAAAAAAAAAAAAAAAAGAATAGATTGTCATTTCTGTTTAGTTATATATTTCTTCTTTATAATATATCAAGCAAGTCTATAATTACAATTGTAAAAAACTGATATGAAATGTAAATGTAGAGTAGAACTCGATCGAGAAAACGTCTAAATATAAATTAAATAAATTTGCAAATGTTTATTTTGATATTCTCAAAGATTTTTATAAATTTCTTTTATTAGAATTCTAAAATTGTGCATTCAAGAAGCCTTGAATTATATTTTTTATAAAAAAATTTTAATCGATCATTTAAATGTATCAATATGTTATGAAATAATTATTTCCTTTTTAATTTATGCTTATATAACTAACAATGCATTTTTTTTTAGAATATGGACGTTATGAAGAATACTGAATATATTGATAATTGCCAATATTTTTGTACAATTATTTTTATTGATTGATGAACATTTCAGAATATCTAATACAACTATTATATTTTGCAACATGTATTATAATGTTTTGGATCACAGTAATGATAGATATATATTATATTATATATTATATTTAAATAACTTTAACATTTTAAAGAAACTAAAAAAATCTTAAAATATTTAAATATTATATTATTTTACTATTTCTTTAGCAATAACATTCTATTCGTAATTTATATTATATATATAAAAATTAATAATATTAGTAATATTATCTTTATAATAATAAGAAACATTAAAATGTTTTATTACTCATTTTCCATTATTACTTTTAATTATTACTATTAATGTGAATTAAACTTACGTTCAGCGTTTTGTGTCAACAATATAAATCGCTTTTCAAAAATAGCAGTCAGAAAATACCAGGTGAATCTCAATGGAAACGAACGAAGATTCTTGTGCGCAGCAATCAAATACTTTCGCTGTTTTAATCCTTGTGGTAAAAGTTCGAAGTGTAATCAAGAAAACTACTTCGGAAGTATGGCGTAATATGACATAAATAAGAGAAAATAATTGGAAAAGCGAGAGAAAAAGGGTGGAATACCATATGGAGAGTGACGGATTTAAAAAAAAAATACCGATAGATCCGTACGGCGCGATGTCATGCGCAATACTGACACGGTACAAGCTACCAACAAACTGAGAGGAATACGCGTATTCCAATACACCGATTAGATCCAAGACGACGAATCACCTTGCAAGGATATGTATAACTCAAGAGTAGACTTTTTGACTTGTCGCATTTATTTAACGTAAAAGTGAGAATCAGAATATAAAACAAAGATAAGAAGTGTGAAAAGTAAATTGATCTTAAAAAAAATTACAATATTTACAAATGAATACAGAGTGAAAAAAACGCAAATTATAGCTATATAGGCTCATGTACTCTTCGTAAATGGAAATATTTATTGGAAAATGGAAATATTTATTTCACTCTTTAGCTCGGAAAGAAGGAATTTTTTTCGTTTTCAGTAGTAATATTTGAAAGCGTTGTTAATATTTGTAGAGTTTATATTACAAGAAATATATTTTTATATATTGCACCAATATTTGCATTTATTTATAAATTATCTGTAAATATTTAGGTTTAGAATAATTCTTGCTGCTGCCTTATGAAATAAATTGTTTGATAACTGGTGTTCAAGTTACATTTTAGCATCTGTTAATATATGCTTATTCACGATATGAATACGAATGGATTAATGTTTATTTATCATTGTATTTTTTTGTATTATAATGGTTTATGGATATATCCGTGGATATCGTGGTATCTGTTTTCTCATATTTATATAATCTATAAATTTCTATTTGAGATATAGTATATCAATGATTATTTTACATTATACAAACCTTTTAGATATATTCTTCTATTTTGTGATAATCACATTTTAGCGTTATAACGCACAATGTTCTTCAATTAATCTGCGATCAGTACGTAATCTTTATCAACTGAATTAAATAGCATCGCGGGAAACTCTCTCTCTCTCTCTCTCTTTCTCTCTTTCTTTCTTCTTTTTCTTCCTTTTGGTTCACTGTTTAATACGATGGGAACGGTTTATCTATTCGCAGTTTTATCGTCGACAGACTAAATCCTTGACACGCATCATTATGCCGTTATTAAGCCGAAGTAGATGGTAGATCCTGTAGCTCTTTCTGAGGTAGATTGCTAGAAGTAGCGGTGTTTGTTCACGCGAAATTACCATGCCTCGTGAATTTAACATATTGATAAAATAATCGATTGGTCAACCATTTAAAATATTTACTTCTCATCTGTGGACAATTAACTGACTCCATTACTGTACAATGTATGATATAATGATATCAAATGTTGTAAATTAATTTAAAAAAATAACATGTTAATAATTGTGAATATATTTAAAACACACACACGCGTATATAATTTTATAATTTTAATTTTATACCGCGTAATAATTACTAATTTATACCAATATTTGCGTTTTGCTTAAATGAAAATCTATATCTATATCTTCTATTAAAAATTTTTCATTTAAATTTCTAAATACACATAAATAATAAGATAACAACAAAATCAATTTGCTGAAAAAAGTAAAGAGAATAATAAAAAAAATGAAGAAATAATGAAAAAAAAGAATATAAAAAGAATAAGATTATGAAGATAATAGTTTAAAAAAATTATTAAAGAACTAAAAAAAGAAGTTACTTTCTTTTCTACTCCTATTTCAATATTGTAAAATTTAAAAATATTAATCTTTGCGCGAGAACACGTAATTACGCGAATACCAATATCGCAGTAACTGCATGTTTAAGTGGAACATTGCACAACTAGCTTCTCCAGCTTCGAGCTACTTCAGACGCCCCCCCTTTCTCCTTAAGGAAACCCCTTTACTTAACTTAGAAGTATCCAGTAAAATATAATACATATTAAGATATATGAGAATAT